TTATCATTCAATTTTGCTCCTAAAGTATTTTTTTAGGAGTTATTTTGTTTCTGTCATTAACTTTCAAAAGGTTGATACATTCCACACTATAAAATATTTTTGTCATAACTTAAAGCAATTTTTTTCGTGTAATTTTGTCTTAAATTATAGGAGGAAGAAGCTAAAGAGGAGAGGGAACAGAATATAATAAATTATAATTCATGAAGTGAAGGTTTGGGAGTAAGCAATACAAAAAGTCTTGAGAATTTGTGTAAGCAATTCAATTACGAGACAACTTATTAATAGGAGTTAGGTGGCTAATCCAAAAAAAAATTATGACAGTTTGACGACAAAATTCATGGGTGCCTTCATTGTCAAAGATAACTACCAAACGACCAACCAATGAATGCCAGGGGACCTATGCTGAGGAAACAAAGATAATGAAAGGTTTGAAATTTGGTTTCATTCCCATTTTTGGTGGAAATTTTCCAGTAAATAGGAGCAATGGTTCCTCCAAAATATCAAGAGGGTGGTTGCTTCCCATTCCTATCGTTCAAACTCACAAATTGTGTCTTAGATTTCCATCGCTGCAATTGCTGGAATAAAGATTTGTATCTGTGGAGACGTTGAACACATATCCGCAGGATTCACTAAATGTTTCGACAAAGAGTGGTAAACTAGGAAGATATGAACATACCAAAACGAAGGCAAAGAAGATGATTAAGATTAGGTTATCATTGTGAAGGTCAGAGCAGGAAGAAACAAGCAGAGGTGATGGATCGAGACAACCACATATATTTATTCCAAGTTTTGGAACATTCAGGCGGCTTGACTTAAAGAAAATAACATTCGGATGAAGCACAATATAATTCAGGACGGCCTAACCCATTAAAACACGAGACAGCTCGACATAACGACAAAACTTATGGGTGCCTTCAGAGTCGGAGATAACTCCCAAACGACCGACCAAGAAATAAATGAAATGCATGTGTGGGCCTATACTGAGATGAAAGGTTTGAAATTTGGCTTCATTCCCATTTTTCGTGGAAAGTTCCAGTAAACCGGAACGATGGTTCCTCCAAAATACCAAGAGGCTGGTTGCTTCCCATTTTTATTGTTCAAACTCACACAAAATTGCATCTTAGATTTCAAGTATTGGCATTGCGAACAATGAAACAGCCCAGCCGATTCGCAACCCTGTTCTTATTCTTCTGCTTCTTAAATATTTTTGCCGAACCAAACATCCACGATCCATGCAAAGTAACAAGTTGCGGGGTTGATGGACCTGCCATTCGATTCCCCTTTAGGCTCAAAGGAAAACAGCCAGAATGGTGTGCATATAATCCTGGCTTTGATCTTTACTGTAATGAAACAAACCACACGGTGCTCGAGCTGCCTTCTCTGTCAAGGTTATCGTACGCGACATTGACTATAAAAAACAATTCTTTGCTGTGTCTGACCCTGATGGATGCCTTGCTCATCTCAATTTATCTGCATCGCCTTTTCGGTCAAATGATTATTATGACTCAAGCCGAAATGCGATATTCAATTGCTCAGGGACGTCTCGTAGAGATTCAAATCAATTTCCAAAATTGGGAAACTTCTCTTGTCTCGATGTTGCCGGCTATGAGGTTTTAGCTGTACCATACTTAGCGGATCATAGGCTATCCTCTTCTATCATGCACGAGAATTCCTGGTTATGCATCAGTCCCCGATTCATTTTTCTATCACAATGAGCTTATATATCTATCTTGGCTCGAACCAGATTGCAGAAAGTGTGAGGACCATGGAGGGCAGTGTAGATTGACAGAAAACAAAGTTGAACGTGAACCTGAATGTTTCCAAAACCCTCATACAGGTATAATTTTTTCTCCGATTATAATACCTTCATAAACAGAGTATAAAATCTATTTGTATGTGCAGCTGATATAAAGTTTATTTTAGCAGGTCCATCAAAACAAATAGTACTCACTGGTAAGGATTCTTCAGCCAACAATTCATCATTTCACATAAAATTGAACATAAAAGTTCCCAAATGAATTTAATACATTTGTATATGTCGCTATATTTGCAGGTGAAATCCTAGGCCCGTTCCTGCTCATGTTTGTTGGGTTTGTTGTTTATTGGGTTACTGCAGCTAGCCTAGAGAGGCAGGGTTACAAAAAAATTAAACAGTTTTTGGAGGATTACAAAGCACTTAGGCGCTAGATACTCGTATGCAGATATAAAGAGGATCACTAATCAGTTCAAGGATGAACTTGGACAAGGAGCTTACGGAACTGTCTTTAAAGGGAAGCTATCTAATGAGATTCAGGTGGCTGTGAAGCTTCTCAACACTTCAACTGGGAATGGACAAGAGTTCATCAATGAAATGGAGACCATGTGTCAAATTCACCATGTCAATGTGGCTCGCTTGGTTGGCTACTGTGCGGATGGTTTCAAACGAGCTTTGGTTTATGAATTTTTACCCAATAGTTCATTGCAGAAATTCATAACTTCAGCTGATAGGAAGGACCTTTCCTGGGATGGGGAAAGCTTCATGATATTGCTCTTGGCATAGCCAAAGGAATTGAGTACCTTCATGAAGATTGTGACAAACGGATCCTCCACTTTGATATCAAACCTCACAACATTCTGTTAGATGACAAATTCACTCCAAAAATATCTGATTTCGGTTTGGCCAAACTCTGTTCTAAGGATCAAAGCATTGTGTCAATGACAACAGCCAGGGGCACTTTGGGCTATATTGCACCAGAAATATTTTCTCGGAACTTTGGCAATGTGTCTTATAAATCAGATGTTTATAGCTATGGAATGTTACTGCTTGAAATGGTTGGAGGAAGGAAAATCACAGATGTCACAGAAGAAAATGGCGAGCAAGTTTACTACCCACAATGGATTTATAATCTTCTAGAGAACAATGAAGACATACAAATCCATGTGGAAGGAGAGGAGGACACTAAAATTGCAAGGAAGCTATCCATTATTGGACTTTGGTGCATTCAGTGGCATCCAGCAAACCGTCCAACCATGAAAAATGTGGTTCAAATGCTGGAAGGGGACGATGAAAAGCTAATCATGCCTCCTAATCCTTTTGGTTCTTCACATGCAATTAGAACAAGAGCTGCTAATGGAGTAAAGCGATTGCAACCAGAGTTATCTCCCATTTCAGAAATAGAGTGAAGTTGAGATGGTTATAATGAGCTGTGTTAGATATAAATTTGTGTTTTGGTTGGTAGTCTTTCCTTCTTGTGTATAAAGTTCAAAATAGGATCACAGATAGTTATCCATGAAAGAATTTCTAAACAATTATAAATATGTAAGTTCTATGTTTTTGCCTGTGGCTATAACCAACTTGAAAAAACTGTTGTCCAGTATTTCCTAACTACATGGTTCGATGAAGCTATATATCATAATCTAAGTTCTTTAAAGAATTATAGCCTACATATATGCGAATGGCTTCCCTATTCTGAAGCTTGGCTCACTCTTCATGAATTCATTTTTGGAAGCTTGGACTATCTATGTTGAGGAACTCAAATTATGTCAAACATAACCGAAATTCTTCTCGAAGTGTATAACCACAAAGAAAGCTTAATATTTTAAATCCCTACAGAAAGGGTTGTTGAGATGTGGGAGACAATGGTAAGAGTAACACAATAAAAATAGAAATGAGATTCACTTTTACTTTTTTATGAATTTGTATTAGAATTTACAGTAAAGAATTAAAAAAAAAAAAAAAAGAGTCAATGGAACTTTGTGCGTGCAGTGGCCAATAAACAATCGATTTTTTGAAGTCTTCATGGACTTTATGAGAGTTTTATTGTAAAAAACTTTTAAGAAAGAATATAGTCTCTTTCCAACTTTTGAAAATTTGCCTAATTCAATTCTATATAATTTATATAAAGCTTGACTAGGACAGATTTTGGGTGGCCACCAGTCAGTCATCGATGGTTAAAGATATTATTAATAATAGTTGACTTGGAGTCAATGCCTTGTGCAATTCCACTCCCATCACCCATTAATAAATCCCGGGAGAATTTTCAACGAAGATGAAGAACATGTTTTGCTTCATTCTAGAACTATATATATAATTAAGGAATATAAATTAAATAGAAACAAAAAATTGAATTATATAATCCAATAAATATTAATTACAAGAAAACTAAATTTGCAATGGTTTCTAGGAAAAATTGGTGAGAAGTAAAATATTTATCACCAAAAGTATTAGAAATTTATTTAAAGATATAGGTGCAACTCATTACAACTCCTTTAATAAGTACTAAAAGAAATAGGTATTGCATATGGCTGAAGAAAAATTGCACTCATATGTTGAAGATGAGTTATGCCTACTGAATTCAAGCCATTTTAATCAAAATCTTCTCAAATACGTAACTTTTCAGCAAATTTTGCTTGCTTCTATTTAATTTCTCATTTTTATTAAAATGAAATATATATATATATATTATACTTCTGAAATTTGTTTAGTCAGATTATACTATTCTACATATTGTCGGCAAGAATTGATGTTTCGGTAACAATTGATTGGATGGAACCATAAGAAGATGGAAATTAATTTTTTTAAAAAGCCAAATTATTATATTGACTCCAGGTCAACCACAATTGATGTGCTTCCCTACCACTGGATTCATTATTGGCGACAAACTTTCAACAAAGTGATAAGAAAGATGGACCAAGCAGTTTCTAGGAAAGAGTGACAGTGATTATATATGTAATATTAAATTTGAAACTTAGTTTTATCTTTCCTTACTCGTTTTTTTCATTCAAATCCGCTGGATTCCTTATATCATCATGCAAGTTGTATAAACTACGAATTAGAATTCCACCAGGCAGCAAATTCTTTTTAAAAATGAATAACTGTAGAGAAAACCTGTTAATTTAAATTTCCAAATAGCTATGTCATAAAAGAGCATGTAAAAACATGGCAGCATAAAAATTTCATTATTTACCAGGAGAACAACCTTCTTCCAACAATAACCTACATGTAATCCAGTAAATCAGAGTATTTCAGAAAACATTAAAGATACGAACCATAATGCTAGTTTTACTTATTTGCAAGTAACTTAATAGAAACACGAATTGTCAGTAACAGCAACATTTTTTTCTGAAATCTCTCACCAAGTTACATAAATTTAGGGAGGAAGAGCCTCTTGAAGCTCCATTTCTCCTTCAAGCATCTCTAACACATTCTTCATCGAGGGTCGATCATTAGGATACATTTGTATGCAATGTGAAGCTATTATAATCATCTTCTTTGCAATTCCTCTTTCCTCATCTGAGATATTGCTCCCCTCTATTGATTCCTCAAATTGATCATAAACCCATTTAGCAAAATAGGTCTGCCAGGAATGCTCAATGACATTCGAGTTCTTCCTTCTGCCAGCCATTTCCATGAGTAGCATCCCAAAACTATAAACATCAGCTTTGTGTGATATTCCTCCAATGTTCTTGTACAAGAATTCAGGAGCCATGTATCCAAGTGTTCCTCTTGCATTTGTCAGAGACACAACACTATTATCTAATGGGTACAACTTAGCCAATCCGAAATCCGAAATCTTTGGATTAAAATTTTCATCAAGAAGGATATTGTGAGGTTTGATATCAAAGTGTAAAATTTGCACGTCACATCCTCGATGTAAATATTCAATTCCTCGGGCAACTCCAAGAGAAATGTTAAATATTTTGTCATAATTGATGGGCACATTCCCTTGTCTCTCCAAGAATATGTACTTGTCGAGAGATCCATTAGACATAAATTCATAAACAAGAGCTCGCTTATTTCTTTCAGTACAAAATCCAATCAGCTGCACCACATTGACATGATGAATCCTGCCAATAGTGGCAACTTCGCTTATGAAATCTTGTGCATTATTGGCTTTGGACTTTGCCAGTAACTTGATGGCTACATCGCGATTGCTTCGAAGCTTACCTTTATACACATAGCCATAGCCTCCTTCACCTAACTTGTGTTTGAAGCCGTTGGTCATTTTCTTGATCTCTGAGTAAGAGTACTTGATGGGCATCAGGTTACTATTATTTCGGAGGAAGTCCTCGACATTGTCATCATAAGATTGATGCCTTCTTCTCCATCGAAGAATCAAGAATATTAAAACGAAAGGTGTACCCAATACAAATTTAGCTTCAGACCAATTATATATCAACAATTCAACATCCCCTTTTGGAATCCCTTTCCAAGTTATAGAGGGTTGGTACGGTGGAAAAGCCACTTGGAGTTCAATTTCTCCCTCGAGCATCTCTATCACTTTCTTCATTGAGGTTGGATCACTAGGATTCATTTGTATGCAATACGAAGCTGCAACAATCATCTTCATCGCAATTTCCCTTTCCTCTCCAGTGGTACCACTCACTTCTATGGATTCTTCAAATTGGTCATAAACCCATTTGGCAAAATGGGTTTGCCAAGAATGCTCAATAACATTCAAGTTCTTCCTCCTCCCTGCCATTTCCATGAACAGCATCCCAATACTATAAACATCAGCTTTATGTGATATCCCTCCAATGTTCTTGTAAAATAATTCAGGTGCCATGGATCCCAATGTTCCTCTTGCATTAGTTAGAGATACAATGCTATCATCTAAGGAATACAACTTTGACAATCCAAAATCAGAAACTTTTTTATCAAAATTTTCATCAAGAAGGATATTGTGAGGTTTAATGTCAAGATGTAATATCTGCATGTCACATTCCCCCGTAAATACTCAATTGCACGAGCAATCCCGAGATAAATATTAAATATTTTCTCATAAATAAGTGATGAATTCCCCTCTCTCTCCTAGAATATATACTTGTCAAGAGACCCATAAGACATAAAATACACCAGAGCTCGCTTGTTTCTTTCAACACAAAATCCAATAATTAAGTTGAACCACATTCGCATGATGAATCCTGCCAATAGTAGCAACTTCACTAATAAAATCTTGTCCATTGGATTTGAACTTGCTTAGTACCTTGACAGCTACATCACGTTTGCTTTGAAGCTTTCCTTGGAAGAGATTACCATATAGCGTCCTTCACCTAAATTGTGTTTGAAGGCATTAGTCATTTTGTTGATCTCTGAGTAGGAGTGCTTGATGGGCATTAGGTTACTATTATTTTGAAGGAATTCCTCAACATTGTCATAATCAGATTGATGCCTTCTTTTCCATCGAAGAATCAAGAAATTAAAGAACAAGGGGCACCCAGTAAAAATTTAGCTCCGGACCAGAGAATTACTGTACACAAGATTCCAACAGCCATAATCAACAATAAATCAATTCTTCCCATATAAGATAAACTTATATGATCAGATATATGTGTTGACCACATGGAACCAAGCAGAATGTTTGTGTTGAAAGATATTTTTATGTTATGGCTTGTGTACTCATAATTACTACATGTACCACGATAGTTGGTACTTGAATCTATGCTCTACCTGATTTAGTTCTCACTCATCATAAATTTCAATTTTTAAAGTAACAATAAAGAACAGAAGAACGGAGACAATTCGACTGTCACTAAACGGAGAATAGGAAAAATATCCAACTGATGCTCTTTTTTCTGTAACTGTTATTGGTTTCGATCTATAACTAACTAGGGCAAGAAATTTAATAGTGTGACAAATGAAATTGAAGGACAAGGAGAAAATTAAACCTTGAATAATCGTCGCACGCTCAATAGCAAAACCTGCACCGTCAAGATTCAGAAGTTTCGACCAGACCAATCATGAAAACAATTGTTTCAATTTTTTCTTTTCTTCTCAAGAATACCATGATAATTAGCTATATCTGTGCCGTTCATCACCTCAAAGCATTCTAAGACCAAGCAGCGGACGATGACAAAGAAAGATATTAGTGGCATTTTCAAGCAGTTACCTTTCTCTTCTTCCCACTCGCCACAACGATTTGGTTGCAATCTGATCTCAATCCCCTGGGCCTCTTGGCTCTGAACTTGTGAATAAAAATAGAGTCAACTGGACTTTGGCAGCTAACAAACTATCCGCCCACATGATAATGGTAATTTTTGGTGCTTAGTGAAACATCCGTCATTTAATATATATTTAGAAGCGCTATGATCCAGCAAATCATGAATTAAGCTTATATATTGAAAACTTATATTTTTATTTTCGGGTTACCATTCATGTAGTAAATTTCAGATTTTCTGCCTAACTTTAAAAATTCATAACTAATTATAAAAAAATCCTATTGAAGTGATTCAAGTCTCAAATTAAAACTCCTTTGACTGTCTACAGGGAAAAATATTCATTGCGTTATTTACTTGCTCATTTATTATATTTGACCTTGAGACTTCACTATAGCCTCTAACTTTCTTGTCTCTTGGTCCCAAAAAACTCTCTCTTTGCAATTTGACTTCTAAGAATCATTCTATTCTTTCAGAAAAATTTCTGGGACTCTTGCCAAAAGGAGTTTGGTAACCTACTCATTTCAGACTATTTCTTGCATTTCTATGCTTAAAATTCGGGATGTGACACTTAGTTATGTTGCTTTGGCTGTGAAAGCGTGGGTGAAGTTGTTGTTTTATGTTAGAGAATGGCGACAGATGGCAGGGCAATTGTTAATATCAAGTCCAGCGGTGATGGATTGGAGAGCAGTGGTGGAGTTAGTGGCACAAATGGCCTCTACTAAATGACTCCCGTAGTTTAAATACAACACAGCTTTGTTCTTCTGACAGCGTAGTTCGTAGCTGGGGTCGTAGCAATTGCGGGAATAAGAGTGTGTATTTGTGGAGACGTTGAACACAAGTCCACAGGATTCACTAAATGAATTCATAAAGAAAACTTCATTCATATAGTATACGAGTAGAGCAAGGGCAAGGAAGATGATTATGAAAGTTGCATTTATCATCGTGAAGGATATCAAGAGTGGTAAGAAACAGGTTAATTTCCAAGCGGAGGTGCTGGATCCATAGTGGCGATTTTCCTTCTTTCTTGAAGCTGAAGTACAGATGTAAATAAGATTTATTTTTAGTCTTTTTCTTAATGTTCACAGGAATTGTATCTAGAACGAAGAATTAAGAAAAAATAGTTAGTCCGTGTTTTGAGAATCTTTTTTATTTCTCTAAGTCTCCCTGAATTTTAGAAGATGTTTATATGAAAAATTGGAATTGAAAGAACTGAGTGAACCCAAGTGCGAATACACTAATTAACATCCAAGTGGCTTGGCTCTAATTTTGGGCGGATTTGAGCCATCATTCTGCATTGATAAGCAAAGAAATCAATAATGGTTGGCTTGAAGTCAATGCCTCATCACAATCCTCCACCAGAACCACTCATAATGATGTGAGAATTTTATTTGATTACAGCTCCATAAAATGAATATAGATTTTGTTATCCAAGGAAAAAAAAAAGACTATATATAGATTGAATCGAAACAAATACCTAAATTGAATTAATTGAACTAAAAAATTATTAAACAGAAACAAATTAAACTAAACTTTTAATTATTTAAATTTATGAATGCATTTATTAAATTTATATCAATGAAAAATGTTATACTTGCGTGTTGGCAAAAACAAATATTTATTATACTTTCGTATGTATATTAATTATTTAAATTTAATTGAAATAAAATCAAGAAGTTTCTGCTTCCAGTCATCAACCGTTGATGTGTTATTGATGACAATTTTCAATAAAGTGATAAGGAAAATACTGAAGGAAGTTTTCAGGAATCGAATTTCTAAATACGTAATAGTTTTCGTTTTTCTTAATTAAAGGAAACAAATACAACACGAAAAATTAAGGCAAGAAAAGGGCAGAGAAAAATGTGTTCACAATTCTCCCTCCCCACTTTCTCTCCACCATTGGATTAGTCAATCGTTAGATTGAATATCCTATAAAAATATTATTATAATATTATACAAAAAATTATGTATAAATAAATTTATACATTTAAAAATTTAACCTGAATAATTTAGAGTTGCTATAAATAAATAAGTTTAAAATATTAAAATTTGATTTAAATAAGTCGCAAATGTAAAATTGTATTATAATACTTTTTTTAATTTCATCCTTAGTAAATCATAATTGTTAAATTTTAAATATTTTAACTTATCTATAAATATTTTTGTTATTTAAGTTTTATGTGAGAACAAGCTTAGATTTCCCCACTGTTAGGTTGGAATGCGCGAAAGAAGCTTGTTTGACCTCTATAATCAGCACTGGAAGTTCAAGGATAAGCTTGGTGGGCCCAGATACAGTAGAAGAAATAGCATGTTTATTCTTTTGTAATCTTCATTGCCCTTTTTCATAAGTAATCTTACATTACTAATAAAAAATTATACAAATAATTAAAATTTTACATTTTTTACTTAATTTACTAGAAGCAATATGTTCTAGGCCATAAGTGCTAAGCTGTCAAGGTAATTATAGGGTTATCACCAAGAAAGTCATAGAAAGATCAGCAAATAACAAATGATATATAATGATTTTTCTTTACAAAGCAATATTCTTAATGTGGGATTCGATCGTGGATACATTTTTTAGCTTAAAACAATGGAGGAACCTGTTTCCATGTTTGATATTTCGACTTAATATACAATTTAAAACTGGGAAAACTAAACCCTAGGTCCTTATAGTGAGATTTGAATCAGGTCCTTACATTATTTTTTCTTTTTAAGCACTCCTTATAATTTCAGCTGTTAGTCACATTGATCCTTCCGTCTTCAAAAATGTCAGAAAGACATAATGACGTTAACTTCAGCTTAACTTGCTGAGGGGGGGACTGTTCATTGACTGTAAAATGAGGCACATGCTCCACAAGCAAGAACATCAAGGTATTCACCAAAGAGCATCTCCTTATCTATCTCCCCAAATACATCACTGATCTCTCCCACCAATTCATTTGAGACAGAGGCTACTTCACTCTTGTCATGCCCAGTAAATCCTTCAATGATTTCAGGTCTATCTCATCATACATGCATGTCAGCCAAAGAGTAGCATATGTGTATGACAGATGATCAAAGCGCACTAAATTTCAAAAATTTAATCCTATGTGTTTTGGATATGGGGCATCATGCGCAAGTAGGTGCTTTGTACCCAAATCAGTGGTGGTCAACGAGAGGATGACTCTGATTGCTTTTGTGAGGTGGAAAAGATTTTAACATTGTAAGGCAATCAAAAATGCAAAACAATATTCACAATGAATATAGTAAAGTGAAAAATTAATATTTTTACCTCTGCTTTTCGTAATATATTAAAAAAGACTGTGCCACAATACTATTTTATTTGCTCTGTTTTTGACCCCAAAAACAGGGACATACAGAGTTGTGGCTTGGCATTACTATAGTTGAAAGTTATGAGATTCATGTAGGCTACGGAGAGACCAGTACCTCGATAATGCTGTTAAGTTATTAGAGACCAAAATTTTTGTACTGCATATGGGTTGAAGATTTTGATTAACGTTTATCTGTCTTCTTCATTTTTCCTTGTTATTTTGTTTACAAACCTTTCATATCAATACGGGTAGAATTAGAATGGAAAAAACTTCCACTTTTTGATAGCTGGTATGCAAATTTCATTGATTAAGTAATAATT